CGAAGAAGAACAGAACGTTTTCTTGATCCTAAAACTGGTGTCTATGAAAAAGGACACAGACGCTGTGAGACACAGGGAGAACTTTCTTGAAATGGAGCAGGAAAAGCTGCTCACGGACCCTCTCCCCGCGGCTCTCTGGTCGCTGCCGATGTGGTGCTGGAGGTTTCTCTGATCCTAGAAACACAAGTAGAAATGAACCAGAAGAAGGCGAAACCGGCAGAGTCTGGACCGGCAGGGGTTAGGGAGGGGCCCTGTCCCGCCGTGGCCCGGCCTCGCCGTGGCCCGGCCTCGCCTCCCACGGAGAGGAGGCAGCATCGCGGGCGCTCCCTCCTCTCGCCTCCTTGCGGTCCCGCCGCACTCGCGCCGGCAGGCGGAGCGATGCCTGTCCCCAACTCACAAAGGGCACCAGCAGGCCTGTGAAGGGACACCGGGCCCGGCAGTGACCAGAGACATGCGGACGGACAGCAGCAGCGAACACCACTTCCGCCATCAGACCGGCAAACGCGGAGTCCGCTGACACCAGGTCTGGGGACGAGGGGAGAAGAGAGGAGCGTGGCCCCTGCCGGGGAGGGGCCGACCCACCCGGGTCGCCGCCGTCCGGCACAGACGCCCACGGCCTGACCCCGAGGCCTGCGGGCACGGGGCCTCCCACGCACAGGGGCCGGGTGGCGGGCGCTGACCCGAGACGAGGGGCCGCCCTGGGCTGTCGGGGGCCCCGCTGCCAGTGCAGGGTCCCTGGGCAACACTTGAGATTGACGGAAACTCCGCAACGTGGGGGCCTGCGTCAGACCCCGTCGGGGGGCGTGACAGGCCGGCGGCTGACGGAAGGGCTTTGCGTTTCTTGCCTGTTTGAGTCATTTCGAACTTTCAAATATGTCTTTAATTAAGGAACTGTCAGCGAACCGGTGGAAACCAGGAGACGCAGTGCGCACGTTGGTTCCGATTCGACCAGAGGCGCGTCTTGCCCCCTGCTGCCACCCCGCTGCCTCGCAGGGTCCTCAGCAGGGTGCCGGACCCGGGGCGGGCGGCAGGGCAGGGTCCGGGGCCTGGCGGGGCCGGGCCGCCCACGGGCTCCGCAGCACGGGCTGGCGGCGCCCCGGGTTAGCTTCCCCGCTGTGGCCCTGGGAGACAGCCACCCACCCGCCGCTGTGCGGTCACAAGTGTTATGGCGGTCACTGTCCCCGCAGGGCTTCGCTGCAAAAGCTGTGGCCTTGGATGTCGGGGGTCCTCCCCTTCCCTTTGGGCACCGCCGCCCGCCTGGGCACTCGCCCTGCGCCCTTCAGCTCCTGGCCCTGGCGCAGGGGCATGTGCCCAGCCGGCCGGTCCCGCAGAGCGGCCCTCGGCGCCACAGGGAGGGTTCCGTGAAAGCGCTTGGTAAAAAGAGCTAAGCGAACCCTAACTGCATCGCGGACACCGGGGCCGGCCGAGCCGCTGCACCGTGGCCTCGGCGTTGACCGCTGCCTCTCCCAACAAGGCAGTTACTGGGAAGCCCTCGGTAAACCACGCTTTTCTTAAGTTATAAAGAAAATTATAAAGTAAAAGCCCAGTCTTCGCATTCAACAGGTTTCCAATATCATGTCGCGTCCTCGGGCCATCGGAGGCTGACCCGAAGCCCCGGCCCCAGGGCGCTCTGCCTCGGAGGCGTGCAGGCGGGGAAGGCGAGCTCCGTCCCGCGCCCTCCTCTGGCTTCCCGGTGCCGCTCCTCTGTCTGAGGTGGGAAGGCCGATGAGCTCCCACTAACGGTTTTACTAAATCTGCGGATGCGTCTGGCTCCGGGCCCTAAAACTCCCGCTGCTGTGAACAGTATGAGCCTCAGCAAACGAAAAAGGTGTTTGAAAACGTAAAGAAAATGCAAGTGAAGCTCTGTTCCTGGAGCTGTTATTCCTACGACTCGAACCTAACGACCCCGCTCAGTGAGGTGAGCGATGTGCGTCCCCCATCGGTCAAACGGTCACGTTTTGCGGCATCACAGGAGCAGAACCCGCAGCCGGGCCGCCCCCGCAGCAACGCATCTGTGGTTTGCGCCCGCGGTTGCCGCCCCAGAAACAGGCGCGGTGTCTGCCACGGGGCCGTGGGCACCGCCGTCCTGATGCGCGTCCCGCCGCCTCGCAGCAGCTCGTTTCGAGCTCTCACAGGAGCCTGTGGCCGGTGGAGGCCCCGGCAGCGCCGACCGGCGCCCAGGACGCCCGGGGCCCGCCGGCAGCCGGGGCCCGCGGCCTGTGGGGGCGCCCTCCTTGAGGGGCCTCCTCTGACCCTGCGGCGCTCCGGGCTCCGCTCTGAAGTTTAGCGCTGGCTTTGCAGACTGGCTCAAACAGGCTGTTCGTCACCGGTGTTCTGAATTTTAACTCTGTATTTGAACGTGTTTCCCTGAAGAGCCATGTCCTGTCCCCGGGCCTGCCTGTGGGGACGGGGCGAGGCTCGGAGACGGGGGTCTGGGACGCGAGCGCAGGAGGCGGGCCGCGTCCGAGTGCCCCTGGGCCGCCCCGCCCCGCCCGCAGCCCCCTCTGTGGCGACGGCCGTGACCGTGGCCACCCAGGCCGTGCCCGTCACGCGGCTCGGCGGCCGGAGGTGTCTGAGCCCGGCCGCCCCCTCCGTCACGTCCCTCGGGGACAGGGACCGGGCTGGGTGGCAGACAGCCTGGCGCCTGAGTTCTCTTGGTCCACGTCAGTGCCGGTCTGGGGCCGCGTGTCGCTAGGAGCCCCTCACGACGGGACCCCCAGGTCGTGTCTCCTGATGAAGGGGTGGGAAGCGAAGGCCTTGGGCCCCGGCAGATGGGGGGTGGAGCCTGGGCTTGCACGTACGCACCGGAACCTGCCAGAGGGCACACGCGAGAGGCCGAGCAGCAGTCCGGGGCCCTCGGGCGCTCACAGTGTTCGCCGGGGCCTCCAGAGTCGGGGGAGAGACGGGGTTGCGGGGGATGGGAGACGGGGTGGGGAGAGGGGGCAGGGGAAGCATGAGGGGCGAGGGGAAGGGGGGGCCTGGGGGGCTGGTCTGGGCCTCGGGCCCCGGGGGCGGCTCTGTGCACACACAGAGTCCACAGCTGCGTTTTTTGGGATGTGCGCGGTCCTTGCGGTTGCTTTCTCGGTCGCTGGCTGGCTGCGCAGACAGGCCCGGGCTCCCTGGCTGGGCTGCGTTCCTGGCTGGCGGCCGCGTGGAGCCTGCCTCTCCACAGAACACCATCCTGGCCTTTGAGAAGGGCAAACACAGCGAGAACCGGGGGAGGCCGCCCGCACGTCCCCTCAGGAGCTGCCTCCGCAAGACCTCGCTCGCTCGGCACAGGCCCCGGCCTGGGTTTCTGTCCCGTGACACAGGGACAGGGTGGCTCTCGCGGAGGAGGGGCCGGAGCTGGCCCTCACCAGTACTCATTCCAAGCCCTCGGCTGGGAAAAGTGCCTATGAAGGCAAGGTGTCGATGAGGGCAGCATGTCGGCCAAATAAGTGGACACAGAGCCCAAGCAAGCGGCCCCGCTGGCCGCTCTCCAGAGGGGCCGCTGAGGGACGAGGCCGCGGGGGCTGCAGGGGTCCAGGTGGGGGCAGGGCTGACTCCTGGTCCTGTCCCTGAGCCCCTCCCCCACCACATGGTGGAGCATGAGCCTGTCCTCATAAAATAGCCTGTGTAAGTAATTTCTTCACAATAAAACCCACCATGGGGCAGGGCGGGGGTGGGGGGTTACAGTTTTCTTTAAATAGGGACACAGGTTTAAGAGCTCGGGAGACCCCCCGGCTCTGCCAGGGAGCCGATTCCAGGCTCAAACGGGGCGTCCGTTCTACGCGGACAGACCCGTGGCGGCGCGCGTGGGTGCTGCAGCCGGCTCGACCCAGGAGGTGGCCGCGCGTCTGACTTCACAGAAAGCAGCTGGGCCCCGTCTTCACCTCCAGAAACCTCCGTCTGTACAGGTCGCTTCTTATTCCGAAACGTTCATCGCTTTTTAAAGTGTTCGTCTCCTTAGACTGGTTCCTGAACTAGCCGTTCCATGAACATCTAATGCCTAGCAAGTCTCCGAACACCTGTCAATCTAGTATTTTGGCTGTTTGTCTTTGTATTGCTCCAAAAGCTCCCGGAGTGAGGAGTGAGGGGTCCAGACCCCCACCCCGGGGCACAGGAGCAATGTGCCCCCTTCCCGGGCCACCAGCCCCGCCGAGAAGCTCCGGGTCACTCAGGACAAAGCGGTCCGGCAGGCGGCCTCCCCACAGTCCTGTCTCCTCTGGGAACAGTCGAGGGACATTTTCTTTGACAAATAAATACCAGAAAGAGTTATTTTTTCAAAAACACTTTTTATGGTCCACGTAAACGTCTCAGAACCCGAGCTGGGGCTGGGCTCCCGTGAATGTTTCCCCCTCCCTCCCCGCACTGAGAGAGCCCACGGGATGTGAGGAACCAGGGTTTGCTGAACGCCTACTATGCGTGCGGCAGGGAGACACGAGGCGTGAAGGGAACAGGGCAGGAAAACACATCGCTGCGACCTGTGAGGGTGTCGGCGTCGGCGCTGATTCGGAGTGGGGGGGCTTCCCGCGCGCTTCCCACGCCGGCCCCGCTCCCAGCTCGCGGTCCGGCAGCCGCGCCCTAAGGAACGCAGTGCAGGCGGAGCAGCAAGGCAGAGCTGGACAGAGGTGACCAGCCCTGGGACGAGGACAGACGCCGGGGAGCCTGGTGAGGGGCCTCCGTGGGGCTTGCAGGGCGGCCCGCGTTGGGGGCTCTCTGCGGACGTCTGTAGGGGGTGGGGAAAGGCGCCCCGAGGTGCAGGACCTGTGGCCCAGGGCACCCGCTCCTTCGCCTCCTGTCCTGAGGTCACAGTGCGGTTTCCAACCGCGACTTGGGAGGACACACTGGCAGTCGCGTGGGAGAAGCCACGTCCGCGTGATAAACAGGCGAACGAGCCGGACCGGTCCTGAGCCTGGGGGGCTCCTCCGTGCGGGCCACGCGCGCTTCCCCCCGGGCCCTCCGGAGGGGCTGCTTCTGCAATGCCGGTCCCGAGGCCTGGCCTGGGGGGCTCCGGCGGCTCACACCAGGGTCATGACCTTCAGGGCGGCCGGCTGGAACCGGCGGATCTTCTTCTTCAGGGCCTTGGAGGCCTTGACTCGGCGCGGCCTGGGCGTCGTGGGGAGGGCTGGCCGGGAGCAGGTGGGCGCCCGTGGGGGCTGTGGGGGTGCCCCCCCGGGCCAGGCTGGGCGGCTCCCGGTGCCCCGGACACTGTCCTCTGCGTCGCTGCCACCGGACTCCTGGTCCCCGAAGCGGTTGGTGGTGTGGTCGCTGGCCTCGCCCTCGCTGCTCTCCGCGATGGTGGAGTGGAGCCGGGAGGGGCACTCGGCGGAGCGCTCGGAGCCACCAGTCTCGCTCCCGGCCCGGGGGTCCCGGCGCGGCAGCCTGGGCCTTGCCCGAGGGCACGCGGGCCGCGGGCCGGCCCCTCTCCGTGTCGCTGGCCTGGGGGGCCCCTGCCCGGGGCCCTGGGCGCCGGCTGAGATCTCCACGGAGGACAGCCACCTGCGCTGCCTCCACCGGGCCTCGCCGCCGGCGGCCCCCGCGGGGGCTGCTTCCAAGGAGAACAGGGCCTGGACCGAGGCCCCATGGCCCTCCCGGCTGGCCACCAGCAGGGGGACGAGGAAGGACACAGGGTAGAGGCTGGACTCGGAGCAGGACCGGCCAGGGGCCTCCCGCGCCTGGGTGGGCTGCCCCCTGGGCCCAGCGCCCCAGGCTGGGGAACGCTGAGGGGCTAGGAGGGCGCCCCAGGCCGGCGGCTGCCTCCCTGGCCTTGGCGCCTTGTCGCTGGCCCCCCGCCCCATCCGCACAGCCTTTGTCATGGGGTGGCTGGTTCCTGGCCCCGCCGGGGTGGCTCCGCTGGCACCGGAGCGGGGACGGACACAGGGCCCCGGGGCCTTGGAGGGCAGCCTGGCTCTGCCGCCCCCGCCCTCAGGGGTGGCCGGCTGGGCCCGGGCGCAGCCGGCGGGGGACTCGCCCCCGAGCCAAGCGGAGCCCAGGATGGTCCGCACCCGGACGCAGCTGCTAGAAGGCGTGTGTCTGTCCTCTGAAAGGCTGCTGGGGTGCTGGGGGCCCACGAGGGGTGCAGGTCCCTGCTGCTTGGGGCTGTCCCTACCCGCTTCCCTCCTCTGAGGCCCCCCTCCTGTGTCTGCCCTTCTCGGGGCGCAGGCCGGCCTCTCTGGGCGACTTCCACTCTCTGCTCTCTGGACTGGGGACCCCTCGCCCCCCGGGGGCCCCTGCTCACCCGCACTGCCTCTTGGGGGGCTCCCTTGGCCCCGCAGGGCAACCAGCTTGTCTATATAGGCCCGGGCGGAGCCGGCCCCGAGGAGCGGCCCAGTCCAGCCTGAGCTGGGACCTGAGGGGCCGGGAGGGGGCTTGCTGGGGGGCGGCAAGCGGCTGTGCAGGGCCTCTTTGGTCAGAACAAAGAGGGGGCTCTGCAGGGCCACTGCGTGCAGGGGGCTGGGGAAGCGGTACACCTCCCCGCCGCCCTCGGACACCAGGTCACGCTGGTACTTGGGGTCCAGTACGTGGGGCGGGAGGCCTGCCCTGTGGCAGAGGAGGGAGGAGGACGTGGTGTCTGCTTTGGCCTCCAGGAGCCACCCCTCAGCCGGTAGGACTCTTTCAAGGTCGCCTGCGAACGAGAACAATGAACAGGTGCAGAAACGAGGGAAGAGCCCAACGCGGCCTCACGCCGTCCCCAGCCGTGCGACCCAGCGAGGGCCTCCTCCTTCCGGGAGAAAAGCGCACGGCCCGCCGCTGGCTCACGCGCACACCGATCCCGTCCCGGGGGGGCGGGGGGGCGCCCTTCCCCCACAGCGACAGCTCAGAAGACCAGCCCTAGACTCCGAACGTGTCCGTTCTGATCCGGAGGGTGCCCAGAAGGACAGGCGCCTGTGACCGCACGGCTGCCTCCGACACGGGGACAGGGGCCGGGGACAGGCCTCCCGGGGACAAGGGAAACGGGACGCTCGCTGAGGGCGACCAAATGGGTTTCACTAAACGGGGTCTCGTGGGGGAAATAGAGCACGTCCGAGGACAGCATCCGCCCCAGTTCAGGGACAGACTGGAGGGGCCCCATGTGTGCCAGCTCCCCAGGCCGCCGTCCGCGGCTCCCACGCCACGGCAGGCGGATGCCCCGCGGGCGCCGTGAGGGTTTGGACGGATGTTCTAAAAACACTCCGATATTCATTTTAAGTAAGAAAATGTGCTTTTTGTTACAAGAGCCCTGCTCTAATGAATGCAAGTGGGTGTTTGATTCCTAGTCCATTCCAACCCCAAAGCCGTCTACAGGAAACGCGGGGGGGGGGCAGCCCGCCCCTTCCGGGCCCCCTGCTGTGCCCGGCACCCTGCCACGTGGCAGGGGACCCAGCGGGGACCGTGCCCACAACCACTCTACCGCCTGGGGTGGGGCTGCCGGCCCCCTGGCTCTCTTACCTGTGGACACTGGCCGGGGCCGGGACGCGCCCTGCAGTGTGGGACCCGCACCCTCCTCAGCAGCCGGCAGCCTCCATGCGGGCGGGGGTCCGCCACACACGGTGGTCTCATCGGCAGACCAGGGCCGGGGGGCCCCTGCGCTGGTCCTGGCCATGGGCACCGCAGGCAGCAGGGTGCCCAGGGAGGGGGACAGGTGGTCGCTGCACACGGACGTGCAGGAGGCGGAGAGGGAGCAGGAGCCGCCGTCGCTCAGCTCGTAGAAGCCTGGGGGGTGGACAGAGGGGTCAGAGAGGGCGCGTGTCTGTGCGGCGTGTGTGCTGTGTGCGCGTGTGAGGCTGTCTGTGTGCATAAGCATGATCCGGTGTATGTGGCATGTACCAGTGTGTGTGCACATGGCTGTGCATGTGCTTGTGGTGCGTGCATGCATGCTGTGGGGCATAGGTGAGTGTGTACATGTGTGTGCATGCATGTGTGCACGCACACGCGCCGTGCGTGGCACGCACCCGAGCTGGGCCGGCTGTCGCTGTCCGGGCCCTCGGCGGACGCCCTCCGCACGTCCAGCTGCAGCTCGCTGATCTGCTGGCCCAGCTGGTCCAGCTGGGCTTTCAGGCCGACGTCCTGGCGCCGCAGCCGGCTCTAGGAGGGGGGGCGCAGCTGTGGGGCTCCGTGCGTGCCCCCCGGGGCCCCCGAGCGACCGCCCTCCGCGCCCCGAGAGGCAGCCCGCTCCGCGCAGCGGCGCCGCTGCCCGCCCCCCCCCCCCCCCCATGCTTCTCCGGCCGTGACTCCCCATCAGCACCGTTCCACGGGGCACTCTTCGGAAGGACGCGGAGGGTGGCTGCGCGCGAAGCCAGGGTCAGGCCGCTCGGGGCCTCCCGCGGGGCTGTGCCCGGGGTGTTGCCACCTGCCGTTTCCCGGTCCCCCATGCACGTCCTGCCTGAGCGCCCCCGGGAGGGACCTCGTGTCTGCCGCCCATGTCCCGCGCTCTGGGCCCTGGGGCCCCAGCCCAGGCCCCAGGCCCCAGGCACCGCGACTTTTCATGGGGAAGGGAAGCCCCCAGGGAAGAAAAGGGCCCCGTGCTGGGCGGTGTCACCCCTACAGGGCACGGTCACAGCACCGTAGGCTCCGGGGCGGGGGAGGCGCCACAGGACAGGACAGCGGCAGCTCGGCCTGCAGAGCCGCCGCCTGAAAGCAGCCGAGGGCCCCTGACTCGGAGGGTCCCCGCCGAACGCCACCCGGAGGCGCCGCGTCCCTGGCCTCTGCTTCCAGCGGCGACCTGGGTGGGCCATTGTGGGCACGGACCATGCAGCGTCCACCCCCGATAATACGCGGGCGGCACACGTGCGCACACATCACACACATGCATGTGACACATATAACACAGGCGAGCACGCAATACTCATCTATCATATAACACAATGCGCACATGTGGGCCGTGCACACAGCCCACTCACATGTGCACACGCGCTGACCGCGCCTGTGAACCAGCCGCACTGCGTGTCCCCAAACTGGGATTTATCACCTCCTTGCGGTGATAAAACCACCCTGTTTCAAGGTCCACTGCACACATTTCTGGTTTTGATTAACAATGAAGTTTAAGGGAAATAATTAACGAATGTAATCACCTGGTTTATCCAGTTTAAGACAATGATTGCGTGCACTTCCGATCTGCGTGCAGGACGTGGGGAAGCCCCCAGGGCCCCCGACCGCGGGGAGGGGCGCTCAGGGAAGTTGCTTCAGAAGCTCCAGGCCGGGAGCACGGAGGCCAGGGGAGAGGCAGGTGGCGTGGCCGTGGCCAGGCCCAGGGTGGCCCGCGCCCCCAGGGCCACTTTCCTGAGAGCCCGACTCCGGGGTCGGGAGTGGGCGCCCCGTTTGACAGCGGCCGCCCCGCAGCCCCCACGTGACCTGGAACGTCCCACGGCCGCGCCAGCCCCGAGCTCCCCAAAGCTCCCACTCCGACCACCAGCCTGGGTGCCGCCCCCCGCCCGTACCGCCCGGGAAAGCTCCCCGGGCGCGTGGGCCAGTGCACGGCGTGCACCATCGCTCCGGTTCCCACAGGGCTGGCGCGGGCTTTCCCCCGAACGGCATTCTTTCCCATCACGACACAGCCGCCGTGGGCGGAAGGCCGAGGGCTGTGTCGGGCGCCCCTCAGCGTTGGGCGGAGGGCGGCCGCTGCGCTGCCAGGCTTTCTGCAGGGCTAGCCTCCCGGACCCCCTCCAGAACAGGCGGTGCCCTGCGTGTCCACGCGGGGACCCACGCGCTGGGATCGACGTTTGTCAGCCAGCCTTCGGGGGGTGGTTTCTGAGCAGCGTCCAGGCCGCACAGTGTAGCGCCCCCCGCGGACGGACGGCGGCAGCCCCAGGCCTGTGTGCCCGCACGGGCCTCGCGCGTGCCCTGTCCTGTTTACGCTGTCCTCGGTGGCCCTTCCTGTCCCTCACGCGGGGGTGCACACCTCTGCTTGCCACCACCTCCTTCTAGGCGTCTAACCTTGTGCTGGATCACAAGCGCCTCCTATGACCAGGGCCGAGTGTGACCACTGCAGAGCCAGCCCCCAAAGGGGCTGGGTGACGGGGTGGCGGCAGCCCCGAGGAGGGGGCCCTCTCCACTCCCCCGCGGGCAGTGTCCCGGGAGAGCGGACAGGAGGCGGGCCCCCGGCACAGATGCGATTCCTGGGCTCCTGCCACGCCCGCCCACGGGGACCCAGGGACACGCTGGGGACCTGCATTTCCACAAGCCGCCCTGGGACCACAGAGACTCTTTATGAGCACAAACCGCAGAGTCTGAAAATGTCTCTCCAGGGGCAGCGTTGAAAGCACACGTCGGGCACACACGTCCTCTGTGGACGGCCCCCTTTCTGACTGAGCGCGGCCGCTGTCCACACCCGCCCGCCATCCAGGCGGCTCAGACCCCTGGGCAGATTCCGAGGACCAAAGTGGAAAGTGCCCCTTTTTTCCAAACCCTTTTGCGGGGGAGACAGAGGCGACATCTAAGACACCGCCTTCCTTTCCTTGAAAGCTGAGCACGGGAACAGGACACGTTCGCGCCCGCCCTCCCTGGCTGGCTGCTGACTGCGGGTGGGTCCGGTCACGCCCTCGCTTGGCACCGGGCCCAGGCCGGGGCCACAGGTCGGCCTGCTGGGTCGGAGGCAGATGGCCCGCGGACCCTGCGGCTGCCTCGCCCTCACCGTGACCTTCCCCGGAGGGTCTGGCAGTGGCGGCGGGAGCAGCCGGTCTCAGGACAACCCGCGCGGCCTCACAGCGGGGCCCTCTGCCGGGCCTGCGCCGCATTGCGCAACTGCCCGCGAAACTCTCAGGACAAGCCAGGACCCGCGTGGCGGGAAGTGCTCCAGGGTGAGGTCTCCTGGTCGCCCCCCCACCCGGGCGCAGCGCCACCTGGTGGGCAAGGGAGCCTCCAAGCTCCCGGGCATCCACGTCTCCGAGTCAGAAACGGGGCGACACATCTTCCTGAGAACATGAGCCGGGGAGCACAGGGCTGCCCAGGTGACAAGGGCGGCTTTGGTCAGAGGTCACCAGCCGTGTTAGCCGCGACCTCTACCCTGGGGAGACGGCGGGGAATGGAATCTCCTCCCGTCTGTGACGGCACCGGCCGTGCCCCTCGTCCAGCACACACCAGCAGCTGAGCACCTACTATGCGCCTACTGTGCGCCTACTGTGCACCGGGCAGCGCCGGGCTGGGATGTCAGACGCCGCCACCGACAGTGTGGACGTGGGTGGGGAACGCTGCTGTCAGCCCCAGGCGGGCTGCAGCTCGGTCTGGCTCGGGAAGGGCTGCAGGAGGAAGGTCTGGGGCCAGAGGAGTGGGCGTCACGCCTGCAGGTGGCCCCCGACCAGGCCGGCGCGGGGCAGGGGCTCGGCTGACAGGGGGCGGCCGACGCGGGCGGCAGCCGGGGCCTGCGAGCCTGGCTGCACCCGGCCCCGCCTCGCTTCTTCCCTGGAAGAAAAATGTAGACGTGTGAAGGGCAAGCTGATGTCACACACGCTCAGTCCCTCTTTCCTTTTGATCACACAATCTGTTCCAAGAACAAAGTTTCAAGGCGAAGTCTGCGTGTTCCTTCTGGTGCCCACATTAAAAAAAAAAAACAACTGAAACAAAAGAGCTTGTTTGATCTTCTCTTCCAAAGGCTACTCGTAATTAGAGGCTGCGCGCTCACAGGCCCGATCTGTGTGTTGCCGAAGCCAAGTCCGTTGCCAGCTTGTTCCTGCCCCCGCAACACCCGGCCCCTCGCGGCCCCTCGCGGCCCCTCGCGGCCCCTCGCGGCCCTTCCGGCTGCTCTCCCGAGGGGCGCCTCTGTGGGCTCCCGTGCGTGCGCGCCGAGCTCCCGGGAGGCCGCACATGTCTGCGAGGAGGGCGGCCCGAGCGAGCACTTCCATGGCCGAGAGACCCAGCGGGCGCTCCAGGTGTGGGCGACCGGCCGCGCCCCTCCCACTGCAGCTGCCAGACCCCGGGCAGGGACGGCCGCGGCGTCTGGGGTGCGCACCTGGGGAAGGCGACGGGGAGGCGCCCCGGACCCCGGCCTCCCTGCCCAGCCCGGCTGTTAGCAGCTGGCGAGGAGCTCGGCCAGGGCTGCATGGGGCTGCTGGGTAAAGGCAGCGGCTTCGGAACAGGGCAGGTCTGATTTCTAATCAAAACGGCCACGGAAAAGTCCAGTGAACGGGGTTCGCTGCAGTACAGAAATCTTTCCATACGGCCTTTAGTGTCTCCTTTAAAACCTACTGTAAAGTTGCAAACTCTCTTTTGAGTTGTTTCTGATACAGAAAACGAAACCATGCGGCATGTTAATAAAGGAGAGCAACCCTCCCAGCCTCTCGGGTCTGTAACAAGGATCAGGCCTGGGGGTGGGGGGTTCCCAGGGAGAAGTCTGGGGTAACGCCCCCGAGGCCCTGGGCTCCACCGCGGCTCCAGCCGCTGGCAAGGCGAGCTCTGCCCGACACTTTGTTACAACAACACGACCCGGTTCAACCTCAGCGCATTCCTGGGGGCCGCTGGGGGCGCGCTGGGCGCGCGGGCACCACTGTCCCAGAGCCGGCAGCGGAAGAAGCTGCTGCCGGGGGCCGGTTCCAGGGACGCTCCAGGCCTCCTGCGGCGGCCGCCAACTCAATGCGTCCTTATCAGGCGGCGTGAAACTCAAACCCACAGGAATGCGCCCCCGTCTGCGCGGGGCTCTGCGCGGCGCGGCGCGGCTCCGGCGCTTCCAGGGTCCGGAAGGGCCCCCGGCCCCCTGGGACCCCGCGCCCCAATCGTTTGGAACCGAACCCCAGCGGGGTCCCCTTCGTCAGTCGGTCGGACAGCCGGCCCGCGTGCCGCCCGCACTTGGACCGGGGCCCCGGGCGCCCCAGCCCCGCGCGCGCTCCTTACCAGCTGGTCCTGCAGCGCCGCCAGCGCCGCCTCCAGCCTCAGCTCGTGGGCGCGGGGCCCACGGCGGGCGGCGGGCGCGGGCGGGGGCTGCGCGGCCAGGGCGCCCCGCACGAGCGCCTGCTGCCGGGCGCGCAGCCCTTGCAGCTCTTGCAGCCCCGCCAGCGCCGCGCGCAGCCGGGCGCCCACCCTGCGGCGGTCCCAGCCCGCGGGCCCCGGCGGGCCTCCTGGCGCCCACATCCCGCGGCCCGGCCTCCCTGAGGCTCCCCAGCCTCCAGGGCGGCGCCCTGCCGTGCGCGCGGCCTCCTGCGCCGCCTCTCCCCGCCCCCGGGCCCGCAGGTCGCCCAGGTGGGCTGGGACCTATCGGTGACCGTGGAGGGCGGCGTTTGCACACGCCCCGAGGGCACGGCGGCCACCGCGGGCCCGCCCCGTCGGCTGAGCCCGGCCGGGCCGCTGCGGGACCAGCGGGAAGAAGAGCGGGGCTGGGAGAGGGAAGCGGCTGGAGTGGAACAAACATGGTGAAAGCTGCAACTTCTTCCTAGAAGAGATACATTCTTGCAACTGTAGCACATTGTAGCACATCGTAAGGACTGTGTTAAAATTACAAACTTATTATCCATTTGAACAACACACTCCCCACTTTCCCAGGCTGAGTCTGGGCTTTGGGGACCTAGGCTTTTTTTTCTCTTTCTTTTAAATAATAGCTGTATTGAGATATAACTGGCATAGCATGATTCCAGACGTATGATTTGCAAATATTTTCTCCGTTTTGTGAGCCAATCTTTCACTTTCTTGATAGTGTACTTGACAGCAAAAACAAAAACCTCTTTAATTTTGATGGAGTTCAGTTTGTATTTCTTTTGTTGCCTGTGCCTCTGGTGTCCTAGCTAAGAAACCATTGCTTAATTCAAGGTCAAAGGTTACACCTGTGCTTTTTCTTCTAAGGGTTTCTTTTTTGGGGGGAGGTATAGTTTTAGTGCCTGCATGTAAGTCTCTGGTGCATTTCGAGTTAATTTTTGTGTAGAACATGAGGTAAGGGTCCAGCCTCCTTCTTTTGCATATGGACATACAGGAGCCCAGCACCATTTGCTGAAAAGGCAGTTCTTTCCTCATTAAATTGTCTTGGAACTCTCTATCCAGATAATCGATTTCTAGATGGTCCATTCTATTTCCCTGGCATAGATTTCTGTCCACAAGCCAATCCCACACTCTTGTGACCACTGTAGCGTGGTCGTAAGCGTCCAAGTCAGGAAGTGTGAATCATCCACACTTGCTTTTTCAAGATTGTTTTGGCTGTTCTGGCCCCTCGCGCTTCCATGTGGATTTTAGGCTCAGTGGTCAGTTTGCGCCGAGAAGCCGGCTGGGTCCTGCCGGAGATGGCTTGGGTCTGCAGCCTGGTTGGGGAAGGGTTGTTCTCTTAAGGCCAACCTTCTGAACCATAAACACGGGCTGTCTTTTAACCGTTCTGTGGTTTTCAGTGTCTGAGTCCTGCACTTCTTTTGCTCTTTCTAAATGTTTTATTCCTTTTATGCTATTGTAAACGAATGTTTTCTAATTGTCTTTTAGGATGTCCATTGCTAGTGTCTAGAAACGAGCAATTGATTTTTTAATACCCATCCCAGCAAGCTTGCCGAGTCTATTCGTTTCAATACATTTTCAGTGGAGTCCTTCCCATTTAAAAAAATTTTATAAAATTGTGCCACCTGGAAACACAGGTGGTTTCCCGCCCCCGTGCGCGCACGCTCTTCCCTTCCTGCCCAGTCTGCCCGGTGGCTCCCCCAGGACAGGGGCGCATGCTGCCTGGAGAGGGAGCAGGCTTCCTCGCTGCCACCTGTTCTCGGGGGGAAGCGCCCCGCCTTCCACCGGAGTGTAGGGTGTCGGCCGCAGGTTTTCCCAGGTTCTTTTGTCAGGAAGAGGGAATTCCTCCTGAGTCCTAGTTTCTTGAGCGCTTTCCTCGCTGGTTTTCAGGTTGCTGGGCGGCTGCCGCGTCTCCTCCTTGGTTCTGCGTGTGCTCGTCCCGGGTTGGTTGTGTAACAAGTGTGATGAAGAAGATCCCTGAGGCTACTTTTCTTTGTTAAAAAAAAAAAAAGGCATTTTCCAGAGGGAGAAAGGGACCTGACCAGACGGGTCTGTGCCCTTGGTCAGCCATCCCTCCATCTCCCCATCCACGGACCCTGTAACCGCGGCGTTTGAAGAGAAGTTCTTGATTTTTATACAGTCTTATTGATCACGGACCCTTCAAAGGCCATTTTAAAGATGTCCGTTCATCTACGCTCTTGCAGACCCTACAAAATGCTCTTTCTAGAAAGGGTGCTGTCTCACCCTGCTCGCCAGAGCGATGGCTCGCCCAGCGTGGTTTCCTGCGCGTGGCCGGGAGGCAGTTCTTTCCCCAGCGCACAGCTCCGCGTGGCATCTGCCGAGGAGGAAGCCTGTCCTTTCTGGGCAGCTCTGCGGTCCCCTTTGTTCCGGACACGCCGGGGTCCGCCGGGCCCCTTTTGCGGTTGGCTCGGTGCGTCCCTCTCTCCGGCTGTGGGATTAGTCGCCGCAGCCGCGTGGGAGGCGCTGGTCGGTGGCACCGGGTCTGCCCGGGTCCTCAGCCGCGCGGGCCACCCGGGAGCCCGGTGGGTGCGCCTGCACGCGGTGGCTCTGTGGGCGCCCCTGGGGGGTGTGTCTTATGTCACTCAGTTTTCTACCCCGTGGATGTGGACTACCCCTTATTTACAAAGGTTTTCTTCAATGTCTCTACATTTTATCTTATAATTTGCTGTGTCTTTTGCACCTTTCATGAGGTTTATCCCTACTTTCTTAATGTTTTTTTTTCTGATGCTATTGTCAATGTTACCTTTTAAAAATCCATTTTTTAAACTTCCGTAGATGTATAACAGCTCTGCTCGGCTCACTTGCTCACTCGAATGATTTATCTGTAGAATCTTTTGGCTTTTTTCCAGACACTTATGTCATGTGTGACTAATGTCAGTTTTATTTCCCATCCTGACACCTTTTGTTTGTCTTTTTTAATGAGGCTTTTGGGACGATCTCAGAGAAAGACGTCAGCGAGCGCCGCGCACCATCTCCAAGGGCGGCGGGTGGTTTGCTTCCTGTCTCCACCGAGAGGGACGCTTGTCTGTGCGTCTTGCAGATACTTTCTATCAGATTGAGGAAACTGCCGCCTATTCCCGGCTTGGATGTTGAATTTTATCCAGGGTATTTTCTATAGCCATGGAAGTGGCTGTATGATTTTTCTCTTTCCCCCCATGTGTGTGGGTTCTGTTAACCGATTGGCGCATGTACAGCCGAGCCCGCATCTCTGGGTGAGCCGACGTGGCCCCGCCTCCGACACGCATGCTGTGGAAACGGGGGGGCCCTGGGGTGCGGTTTGGCGGTGTGGTCCGGGCCTTGAGTGAAGGTGCCCTTGGATCCGCTCCCTGGAATGTACCCTGCAGGAGCCATCAGCGGGGACGCTCTCATGGGCAAGTCCAGAGGACGTTCGTGTGAACGTCACTCGGAACGGCGACATCTGGGAGCAGAGTGAGCACGGCCTCGGGCGGGTACAGAGCGAGGGGTGCCCATGGCCGGGGGGGCCCCTGATGCTCAGCGTGAGGGGTTTCGGCCTTTACGCTCTACTTATAAAGACGCTCACTTATTGCATAAACACTCATTACCTTGCTCCAGTACCAATGATTAAACAGCCATAGAAGCCACCTGAACATGCTCTGTTAGAACCGAGCAGCGCGCCGGAGGCCGCCCTGTGTCTCCTCCGTTCCTGCATGGAGGCCCTGGCCCCCCAGTGCCTCAGAACCGGGCGGTGTTGGAGATGGGACCTTTAAGAGGAGATTAAAGTAGAGTGGGGTCGTCCAGATGGACCGTAATCTCAGCTGAGTGCTGCCCTCAGAGGAGGAGGCCGAGGCCCAGACGCGCCCGGGGGCGGCCAGCCGAGGACGCGGGCGGTGGGGGACCTGCCGGACACGGCCGCCCGCTCGGCACTGCGTGGGGCCGCTGGGCCTTGGCCACGCCCCTCCCTGCTGACCCCCGGCCCCGCGCAGACAGCGACCCCGTGGCGCGTGGGGCCGCCCTCGGCCACTCCGCCCCGCTCCTCCGCCCGGCCCTCGCGGCTCCTCTGCCGCGGCCCCCCGGCCTCTCCTCAGCCTCCCTGGCTCTCAGCTGCCCCTGCTCGGCCTCCCTGCGGCCTCGCCCGTGCCCGGGACCTTTGCACGTGCCGTGCCCCCGGCGGGCAGGCGCGCGGGCTGCCCCCCAGAAGGCGGCCCCCCCGCCCTGGGGTGGCCCCCGACGCCCCTTTCCCTCTGGCCCTTGGGCCTCTGGGCCTCTGCCCACGGACCCCTTTTCCACGGCGCAGCGCCCCCCGCCATGTTGTCTACAGTTTGCCTTTGTGTTATGGTGATTATTCCTCATTGCCTCCTCCCCTGCTCCCTGCCAAGTGTGAGCCTGGGGAGGTTCGAGATCTTTGTTTTTAAACTGATATAGTTTAGATGCTGATAACTGTCCTTGGCTCATAGCAGCTGCGCGGTCGCACTGGCCGGATAAAAGGAACGTGTGGTAAGTTCTTCACTACTGCACTGAAAGAAAAAATTAAAGAAGCGAGGGTCTTAGATCGCCTCCATGTTGTGGTTTGTTTTTACGTCACTGAGAGTTTTTATTACAAAAGCAGTACACAAGGTTCAGAGATAAATACAGAGCGCTTAACGTTTCCTCTCTACTCCTCTTGAACCAAACCCTCCTTATGCATTTGTTGTACAACATTTCCCAAACTTATCCCTTATCCATCATCTGTCCACCCGCCATCTACCCATCGTCTGTCTAACGCGGCCAGTGGGAAAGTCGGGCTCTTCCACGGGGCGGCGAGGACAGCATTTCATAGACCCACACGCGGGGGCTGTGGCGTGGCAAGACTTACTCAGGTAGAGATCTGTCCCCGGGGCGCCAAGGTCCTGCCTCCCTCTCCCGCCGTGGGAGAAGCCCAGCCCCGTCCTCAGCAGGGCCGGACCCAAGGCCCGTGCCCGCAGATGCTGCTTCATCCCCAGCGGAGCCCGTCGGGGCCACGCCTTCTGCTGCGGCCCACGCGCTGCTAGACCCACGTGGCCGTGTGTGTCCCCAGGTGAGAGAGACAGAGACAGAGAGTGAGCGCGCGCACGGACGAGCAGGCAGGTGTGGGTCACCGACGAGAGGGAGCATCTTTGTCCCCCTGGGGTTCTCACCGGGAGCTTTTTCAAAATAACCAATCG